TCTGCAGGTTCTGGGCCTACATCAGCCTCCGTTGTGGGGGCTAACGGTAGCGGAGGTAGCTGCGAGAGAGGTGTAGTAGGAGGCAACAGCGGGGGAGGAGGAGTAGAAGGCGGTTCCACAGCTGTAGGAGCAGGAAATGGAGGAGGCGGGCATTCCAGCTCAGGGTGGCAGAGTCTGGACAGCACAGGCAGCTCATCGGACCAGTCTGCCACCCAAGGGCCCGGGCTGGGCATCTTTGCCCAGTGGAGCAGCAACGGGACTGGGGTGGGTGGGACTGGAGGTATGGAGACTGGAAGGCAGGGTCTGTGGGGTGGTATGAGTGGGATGAGCGGTGCGGGGTACCCCAGCAGTAGCCTCTGGGGTTCCCCAGCACTTGAGGATCGTCATCAAATGGGCAGTCCAGCCTCACTGCTGCCAGGGGACCTGCTGGGCGGGGGGGGCGACTCCATCTGAGGGGCCGACTGACACACATTTTACACCCAAGTTGTAATACATATGTCACACTCTGTATTTATTTACATGTAGAGATGACATGAATTAAAGCTACACTGGTCACCCAACACGCAAATACTCAACATTCATACTACACACAGGCTACGTGCAGTACATTCAAACATACACATTAAGCCGCTTAACTTTAAATGAAGACAACAGCAAAACTTGAACCGGGGGAAAAAGGTGAAATCCATTAAACTTTTAGGACTCAACTGGATAGCTCTTTGTCTTTTTACTCCAAATCCCACCATCTGCATTCAGAGACCCGATCACTCAGGCATGCACTGTAGACAGGCTCAGCCAGAGTCGTACGTGTCAACAAGTTTAGCTATTGCTGTTTTTAGTGTGCAACAAGTTTTTTTCTTTTGTATTACTATTTAATGGCCGAATCTCAAAATTCAGACTTGCAGACTGAGCCCTCGTAGACCTGGCTGGCGTACTTCTGCGTTCTCATGTTTGGAAGCTTGAGAGTGGGGAAGGATCTGGAGTTTGTAGAAAATTTTGGACAACGCCACACTACTGAGTCAAATGGACGATCAGCGACCTTTGAGATCTGGAAAAGAAGAGCGTTTTTAGTAGGTACCGACACCTCTACCTTGGTGGAAATATGCCATCAACATGGGACCCAGGGTAAAAAAAATAAAAAATCTAAACAAAAACAACATTAGCCAAACTTGCACTATATGCCTCTGGGTTTGTTGTTGACACATCCTCCACAAATCCCTCCATTTTTTTGAAACAGAGCTACAACACAACAACTACACAGACCTTACAGGACAACTAAATGTTACAAACAGCAGTGGCCTTGGCGAACACCCAGCGGCCGCCCGCCTGCCATGTCAGCAGCATCACACCTTCTCATCAGTTACACACTGCTCTTATATTTGACAAGCAAAATTGTAACTCCTTGTTGATGTATGTCGGTTGTTTATCTTTCTTTCTTCTGTTTTAAAAGAAAAGACAAGCGTGTGAAACTTTGTGGAAAACCAGAGATGTCCTCCTTTTTTTTTTCTTTGCCCTTCAAACACTGACCTCGCTATTGTATTTTTACTTACTCGAGAAATCAAGTTGGTTATTCTATATTGTCATGATGTTAATGATGACTACGATCACTTATTTACTCGCTGTACAAGGTGCCCTCCTGCCTGTGTGTGCATGAAAGGAGCGATGACAGTATGACCGAATGGAGGAGGATGTGATGAAGATAATGATATCGGGAGTGTCTGTGTTATTGCTACTATGTTGAATGTTTCTTTCTTTCCTGTCCATGAGAGATTCATGAGAAATGTTTGTTTGTGTGTGCGCTTGCTTTTGAACACTTATCTGCTCCAGTCAGGGAAGTGAATAGATGTTAATCTGACAGCTTGCATTTGATAGAAGGGGGTGTGTGTGTGTGTGTGTATGTGTGTGTGTGAGAGAGTGAGAATGTGTTGACATGTTTGTGCTTGACTGCCTGGATATTGTGATAGCGGAGAAGTTCAAAAACATTGGCACTATTGCATATTGTAAGTTGTGTTTTTTAGCAGCATTTTGTTCCTGTTTGTATTTTTCTTTCTTTCTGCCAAATGCAATAAGAGAATATTTTGTTTTTAAGACGAAGCAACCAACTGAAGGCATTTCTATTACGATGCCAAATCCTACCATACCAAGCTGAGCTGGAACAGTGTTTTACAGACACGTTAAAGACATTATCTGTTATGTTTTACTGTTTGTTTTTTGTTATTATGTATCAATTTAAATTAAGTCAGTCTTTATTATCACTCCTGTTCAGGATGTTTTCATTTATTTCAGATGTTACAAAAAGGAGAGGAAATTAATTTAAAGCAGAAAAGAACAAGATAATAAAGGTTGAATTGAAGTCTGTAGTTGTTTCTTATTTGTTTCTATAGGATGTCTGGAATTCATAGCCCATATTCCTTTGCATTTCAGGTTAAACGCCAGCCTACTTATGAATTCATGTGGTGTTAAGGTGCCATGGGCCTGTGAAGTCAATAGATTATCTGACATTGCGGCATTGTTCCTTACACAGTGACTGGATCAGTGACTTGGTTGTAGTGTACTGCTTGTTCCTGAAAGATTCCAAATAGACCCTGTTAACAGGGCTAGAAAAGTTAAAGTTGGGGTGAATGTCACATTAATCTCATTAACTGTCTTGTTATTTTCTGTTTTCTCTTATTTATACTTAATTATAATTCAGAAAAGAACATCTCATGATTGAATTTCCCTCTGATTTACGGCTTTAGGAAAGAGTAATTTAGGTTCACAAACAAAACAAAACATTTATGATTTAAACAGACTGTGATCGTGCACCAGGTAGAACACACCTTTCTGTTGATAGGCTTATTTATCTGCTCAGTATTTTTAAACAAATCTGCAAATGTGTTGATGTTTTAATTGTGGTTTATTGTTATTGTATGGATTCACACTGGCGCATGCCATGGTCTTTGGCCTGTACTACGAAGCGAGGTAACTGGCTTATCCAGGTAACTTCAGGAGTAACTTCGTGACGTCGGTGTAACTTCCTGATTAACCCGTACTATGAAAGGTGGACAGGTGTTACCCTGAGTCTGTTGTTACGCTGCATCTCTAAACTGCTCCGAGCAGGTTTTGTTTGTGGTTAACTCGAGGTTACCCTGCACGTGGACTACATACCACATCTGTACTCAGTGTTAATGATGAGAAGTAGGATATTAATCCACACCACTTAAAATGTAGATTTGCTCCACTACGATTGCAATGAAGTTCTGAACACAACAGCATTGCGTTCAGACAGCGAGCCCTGCAGCCTCGGTGATTTTAGAGAGGAATCTTAATTAACGGGATAGTTTCTTAGATATAGCCCATCTGTAGTCTATAATTGAATTCTAAGTGTTTTCACATATTTAGATAGATTATATTACGTGTCCAAAAAATAGGGAACCAGGGTCGGGGTTAATAACCGAGAAAAAAAACTCCTAGATGAAATTGTGAAATTTACAAGAAGATAATTCCCTGAAATTAATGTCATAAATACTCAGGAGTATTTCCTCACTGCTAAATCCGATTGCAAAGTTTTATATAACTTCCAGTGCATGCAATACACCGCGACTATAATATCAGAGAATAGTCTCTTCTAAGTTTTTAATTGCAGATTAATCTTGGTAATTAGCCTAAATTCTGTCTCTGATTATTACCCCTCTCCGCTGGCTCCTTTTTTTCTATTAGGCTACAATGGACCTTATGTTGTACCTTTACATCTTAATCATATTACCATAAAAGAAGAGCCTATAAAATACATAATAGAGATTTGAAGAACACTTTGTGAAGATAATTAGGCTACAAATTTACTCGATGTGATGCCAACAATCCTCCCTGGCTTTGTCGTCCGCCACGATATTAGATTTAGCCGTTAACGTGTCTTTACATTCATAATTTCCTGACACTACCAATGTGCACTCCTCTGGAGAAATACGGAGCATGCGCCGTTGCGAAAAAACTCTGCCTGCACGACCGAACAAACCCCTTTTATGCAAACGCTCACCGACCACAATAAGTTAACACGGGCTCAACGAACCAACGTCTTACCCACCTTTGTTTAACTCCAGTGTAGGCAGTCAGAGTTTGTCAATCCTGAGTTTGCTTGATAACCCCGAGTTAACTCTGAGTAGGTTGAACTCCCTTCGTAGTACAGGCCTCTTATCTACGTTTTCTGTAAAGTTTCTTTTCTTAGAAGCATTTTCTGAGCAACAAGAGAACTAACCTACTATAAACTGGTGAGGTAGGTTACTTTCAAAAGACAACATGGGACTGAAATTCCGGATGAAATGTTAAAGGATAAAATTAAAATATTATTTCCAGATTAATATTTTATTAAGATTGCTGTAAAGCTAGGAAAGCTGCTTTCCTGCTCCCGTGCAGGAGACCTTTAATGTTCTTTAAACGTGTTTGCCATCTTATTGTGATGCTCTGTCAACGTGTTATTTTGGCCATAGCTTCGTAAAAACAGTTGTATATTGGCAGAAAATTATTTGAGCTTATAGTTAGTTATAGCAACGACATGTTCCTCCCTGAAATTAATATCCCTACTTTTGTTTAGCTAATGAATGTTCCAATTTGAGGCCTCAGTGTTAAAATAAATCGGAATGGTTCCCATACATTTATTTTTAAATGATAGGCTACCACTGGCTGTGACACTAATCTTACTGAACCATTCCACTTCCAGCATTAAGAAACAACACATAACGTTTAATCAGTAGTTTTTATTGTGGGAGTTACAGTTTGTTGGTCATTTCTGTGTAGGCTACTAAATAATACAAAAGTATGTAACTCATCTTCTAACAGGCGATGATAAAAAGTCGTCTAGTGTAAAGAAAGACATTTTTGTAGGAACTACCACTAGAGGGGGTTGACACTAGACGCATGTCAGTCTATGCACATTCTGCGTCCTATATAAGAACAATAAGGCTGTTGTAACACACACAGAGGACTGACTTGTCCGTGCTATAGCCTAATTATCTCATGATTCTACATTATAGGCCCCTTAAAGATTTCATTTAACAATGACGTATTGGTGTAAATGTATGTAGCTTGAAGTGAGGTGTGATGCTTGGTGCGCTTCATTCATGCTTGCAGAAACCAGCAGCAGCGCGCGGCGGCTTTAAGACAATCCGGGCATCTCTTCAGGTCTGTGGATGACATCATTGATATTGTCAATGGTGTAAACTGAGAGAGGTCTGGGTGGTGGTGTGTGAGGAGGGAGAGAGAAAGAAGAGAGAGAGAAGGACCTCAGCGTCTGGTTTCGGCGTTTTCACTCCTCCCCCCCCCATCCAAAAAAAAAAAAAATCGTGACAGTGAATATTATCCCGAGTCGCAGGGCTCGGGCCGCCTCGGATCAGCTGTTTTTATTTGGGTCTTTTTCTTTGGGAGTCGGGGGGGTTGGGATGGGGGGATCGGGTCACAGATCCCCGTGGTTATGAGCCGTCCGAAGCCGCGTTGGTCCGTCGCTGTCCAGGGTCCTGAGTGAGACACAGCCGGCGGGCGACCACGGAGCCTGACACAACCCGGTGAGTAGAGGTGGGTGGGGGGGTGTATGTTGGCTAGTCAAGGTGTCTGGAGGCTTATGTTTGTGTGTGTGTGTGTGTGTGTGTGTGTGTGTGATGGTTTGGGTTAGACAAATAGAGTCTTACCTGTCTATAAAGGGTGCGGTTATGGAAATTGTTACCACATTTGATGGTCAGTGAGGGATGAACCGTGTGTTTTTGCATTCAGCACCTTCCCTATTGGAAATATTACGTCTTGCCTGTTTTTGCAGTCCTTTGCAGCAGTACTGGGTCTCAGTTTTGTAACACTGACATTACAGCAGCATCTCTTTGGAGGCTGAGAGGCGAAGCGATGAGCTGGGGAGACCTGAGATAAAACGGTTGGTAATGTGCGGCAGTGGCTTGCTCTGCCTTATTTTCCCTGCACTGTGTGTAGATGGGGTGTATGTAGGTCTATAGTGCAGCCAAGACTAGAAAAATGAACTTAGCCTGCGTTTAGTGCAATGTCAAACTGGCTTGTAAAGCCTAACCTCTGTCGACTAAAAGCCCTCAGTCATTTCCCACTTTTAAGCTCCTATGTTGAGGAAAACATGAGTCATTTGTATTTCGTCATGGCACACCAGTCAGAAATTGGGAGTTTATGCAAATCTTTTGTACACAGGACCAGACTCCCTTGAAGTGCTTTGGTAAGAGTGTGTGAGATGCTGATCCAGACTCCCTCTCTTCAGCTCTGAATAAATCATGTTATACAGCTACACTCTCTGTACTCTTTTGCTCTCACCTTTTCCCCATACACTATAAACACTTTATTGGCCTACAGTGTTGTCCTCTGAGATCCCAGAATTTATTATCGCGTCCTCTGAAGGTGTAATAACTCTTAACTCTTAACAAAACATGGCTGATAGGAGCAGCTTGGTTACATTAGATCCTGCGTGTTGAAAAATGTTTTGCTTCCACAGTGGATTTAGACACATAAAGTCACTTTATAGCTGAAAGTGGGAACCTTTTTCACTTCCTGATTCAACTCAGGCTGCTCTATGTCACTGTTATGGCTCAATTAACACTTTTCGATTTTTCTCATCTCTCCTGTTGATTTCTCGCAAGCTTCCAGTTTCATTTTCTTACATGGTACAGCCACCTCAGGGCTCGCGGCTTTGCTTTACTGTCCTTTTACTCTATTGATCACCAGTGATTGATGACAATCTTTGTGTGTGTTTGTATCTGCATGTGTGTGTTTACCCCTTCAGTGAGTTGAAAAGCCCAGGAGCCATGGAGTTGAGGGTGGGGAACAAGTACCGCCTTGGGAGGAAGATAGGGAGCGGATCCTTTGGAGATATTTACCTAGGTGAGAATTTGGACTTTGTGTTGTGTTAACCTGACGTTGCTCCTTTTCTTTTTAAAATAATTAAGTAGCTTATGTGTTGGAAATAACATCTCTGGCGTTTCTCCCATCAGGTTCTAACATCGCTACAGGGGAGGAAGTGGCCATCAAACTGGAATGTGTGAAAACCAAACATCCACAGCTTCACATTGAGAGCAAATTCTACAAGATGATGCAGGGCGGGGGTAAGAAGCACGGAGAAGTGTTTTGGGGGTTTTGAAAGCTTTACTAGTGGGCATTGAAAGGCAGTGAATGATTTAAGGGGCATTAATAGGTAGAGCTGCTGCGGTGTGTTAACAATTATTACAGTTGTTTAGGAGTCTTTGCAGAGCTTTTATAGGCCTTGAAAGACATTTAAGGGCTTTTGAGGTGTATTCAGGGTCATTCAGGGACGGTGTGGCGCCTTTGCCTGGAATTAAGTCATTTTAGTGTTGTTAAAGTGTTAATGGTCATTCAGTAGCTCTAAGGTGTAGTCATGGCTTTTGAGTGGTGCTGATGGGTGCTGAATCCTTACCTAATAATGGAATTAACAAATATAAGCTGGCGGTGAGGGATTCACATGTCACAATAGCACAATAGAGACAGGCAGGTGAAGAACAAGAAACTATAAAAATACTGAAAAGAGATCATATTAAAAGCCTTTATATAATTTATACATTACAATACAAGTATAACACAATATACATTAACTATGTAAGAATTTAAGATGTATAAATATTTGCAATAAAGAAATCCAGAAAATCATGGCAGACATGATGTATATACTGCTACCTATATAAGTATAATCATGAATAATTAATAAAATATATATACTTACAAATGAAATATATATGCAGTACATGTACCATACACGTTATACAGTAATAATATGCTGCTACAAAATAAATATATATTGTGATCTTTATTATGATAATTAAAATAATAATATAAAAACCCAAAGCAGGGGTACTTGTACCCGAATGGTAAAATATTTACACCTGAATATATATGGACGCATTTTTTCTAATCAAATTAAAATTTCTATTTTATCAAACTTCAGCTGCTCGACAGTCTTTCCACATACAGTACGTGGAAAGATTTCAGCTGTACTCCTGTACCCCTGGGGTACAAGTGGTTACCACTGGTTAGGAATCTATCGCTCTGGACCACCCAGTATTTTGCTATAATGTTGTACATTATAACAAATTAGCAAATTTATAGCAAATTATAACAATACACCTGCACCTTGTCCTTTTTTAGTGATCATAATAAAGCTATTATTATTATAAGTCACAATTTATTTGTATAGAACTTTTCAATACAGGTAACAAAGTGCTTTACAACAATCAATGTAAAACAAAGTCACATAAAGAAAAATTAAATAAGAGAAAAAACATTTAGGAAATGTATCAATGGTCAAAAAAGATCTCTGCTTAAAGTAATGGATAAATGATTTTACAAACACATAAGTCATGTAAACGTCCATCTTCTGCAATAGTTGCAGTAGTAATACAAGTACAAATTGTGAAAATCAGTGAAAATAGTTGGTTAATAATCCGTATCTACCCTAGAGTGTCAACCCTGTGGTATTATGCACTGTTCTTTTTCCCAACCCTCCGATCCCCCTTCCTCCCCTCCCAACAGTGGGAATCCCGTCTATTAAGTGGTGCGGGGCGGAAGGCGACTACAACGTTATGGTAATGGAGCTGCTGGGCCCCAGTCTGGAGGACCTGTTCAACTTCTGCTCCCGCAAGTTTAGTCTGAAAACAGTCCTGCTGCTGGCCGACCAGATGGTGAGAGAGACTGACTGACTCCAGTCAACACTGTAAAACATAATAGTGCATCAGGGTTTTTTCTCAGATTCAGTACTTGCCGCACTGTCCCTGCAAAGAAAGTAATTACTTTAAGAGCCCTCTGAAGAGCACTGTTGGATCAGGGTTCGCTGAGTCTTTATAAAGAGGTTAATCAAGGCACCCAAGGCTAAAAAACAACAGATAAACAGTGATGGTTATAGAGAATGGACACATTCAAATACGCAATTCCAGTTGTCTAAACTTGTACCTTTGATGGCACATAATGCACTGATGTCGACCTCAGCCTGGGAAGTTACACAGATTTCAATAAATGCATGTGGCTATTTTTAGACTAGAACTAAATGGATAATTTGAAATGGGAGAATAATTCTCATCTAAGCCTCTAGAAGCTCGTTTCCTGACTCAAGACAAAGCTTATCCACTCACTATCTCCCACCAGTCAGTTCCTCTATAAAAGTAAGTTCCAATCTAGGACATGGAAGCTCCTCCGCAACACGGTCTAATCCTTGTCGCAGAGGTCAGCCTGTGGTGTCTTTTATGAGCCTCCTTAATCCCTCATGTGTCATTCTTTAGTCTACCACTGGCACATTTGTTCTTTTGTCCCATTTTCTCTTGGCCACTTTGACCTGTTTTCCTTATCGCTCTATCTCCTCTTCTCTCTTCTCTTAAGTGGCAGTAACTAAGATTTTAACTGTCCCATAACATAAAATGACCTCTATATATCTGCAGACAATCTGACAGGATTATTGATCCATACCAATGACTCTAATGTTATTTCAGTGGACAATGAGACTTGTGACCTTTAAAGTCACAAGTTACAGTACACTACCAATCAAGAGCAGTAAAGGTAACCGATTATCTGAAAAGGAGTAACTGTTTGCCAGACGTTCAGATCAAAGTGTTTACTAATCTGAAAACCAGAAGAAAGAAAGATTCAAATTTTTGTATTTTCAAACATTAGATCAGTCAGTTTTTCTGTATGTAGAATAGATTAAAGAACCATACTCATAATTCAGGACACTTGATGACATTTGATTTATTATAGGGCAATTAAGGGCAATCTTTTAAGGAGTCACGTTCAAGTCTCTGTATATTGACTGTCTTAGCATACTGACATGATAGGACTCGGGGCTCTAAACCTAAAAACTCAAACTATTCACTTATGAATTGCATTTCTTTTGTTAATTGGCTCCAACATGCAACACCACTAATACTCTGCTTTAATCCCAACTAAATCATGTTCCCCTCTCCCTCCGTTCCAGATCAGTAGGATCGAATACATCCACTCCAAGAACTTCATCCACAGAGACGTGAAGCCTGACAACTTCCTGATGGGGCTCGGCAAGAAGGGCAACCTGGTCTACATCATCGACTTTGGCCTGGCCAAGAAATACCGTGATGCCCGAACGCACCAGCACATCCCCTACCGTGAGAATAAGAACCTTACTGGCACCGCCCGCTACGCCTCTATCAACACCCATCTGGGCATTGGTAAGACAGCATACAAGCTGCCTTCCCCTATCACCTTCTACGTCTTCCTTTTCTTCTTCTCCTCTTTCAAACCTTTTTTTTTTCCATTTCACTCTTTACTCTCTCCCCATTCGGTCTGTTCCCCCACAGAGCAGTCGAGGCGAGACGACTTGGAGTCTCTGGGCTACGTTCTCATGTACTTCAACCTGGGCTCTTTGCCCTGGCAGGGGCTCAAGGCTGCCACCAAGAGGCAGAAGTATGAACGCATCAGTGAGAAGAAAATGTCCACCCCAATCGAGGTGCTCTGCAAGGGATACCCCTGTAAGGAAAGAGAAACATATATTGATAACAGTAGAAAGTTTAAAGAGGGTTTTTGCAATATTTCAAAAAGGTTCAACACCTTACCTGTTTTTGCGTGAAAGCCACTTCTCTTTCTCTCTTGTGTTTCCCAGCTGAGTTCTCCACTTACCTGAATTTGTGTCGCTCCCTGCGGTTCGATGACAAGCCAGACTACTCATATCTGAGGCAGCTCTTCAGGAACCTTTTCCACCGACAGGGCTTCTCCTACGACTACGTCTTTGACTGGAACATGCTGAAGTTTGTGAGTGGCTCCTCCACAATTCACACCACTGTGAGCGACATGCTTTTGTGAGCTAGCTCCAGCTCGGAAGTTCAAAAGCCTTTTCTGTTATGCTCATGTCTGTATTGTTCCTCTGCGTTTCAGGGGGCCAGCAGGAACGCAGAGGATGGAGAGAGGGAGAGGAGGGAGGGAAAAGAGGGAGAGGAGCGAGCAGGAGGAGGCCAGAGAGGAGCTGGAGGTCGAGCTTTGCCGCCTGGTCCGAACCCTTCAGCAGCCAACAGAGTCAGGAACGAGGCAGATGCTGCTCCCTCGAACCCGGCCACACGTGGGGTCCAGCAGTCAGGTCAGGATGATGGTTGTCGTTTTAGATGTTTGGAAGTAACTGTGAGATGCAGCTGTAACAGAATGAAGGCTTTGTGTGTGTGCAGGTAACCGGTCTCCTCAGGCGGGGAGAGCAGAGAGAGCCGAGCGAGAGAGGAAGGTGGCCATGAGGCTCCACCGCGGAGCCCCCGCCAACGTCTCCTCCTCTGACCTCACCGCACGCCTTGACCAATCGCGCATCACTGCGTCGCAGGTAGGAATATTGTGGCTTTACAGGTTCAGAGAGGCTTTGTTGTGAAGGGAGTTGCTGCATGTTTTATGCGCATCAGTTGCTTCAGGTGAGTGTTTTCTTATTCATTAGGAAATGCATTCAGAGTGAGGTGGCCGTTCATAGGCCACTATAGTCCCCTTTATCACATGTTGCATGTGCAGTTGACATGGTTTAGATTTAATGCTGTTTCATTTTTTTTTTTTTAAACCTGTGCTGCCCAGCAGCATGGTATAGAGTATAATGACCTGGATACCATATTGTGCCAGACAGATTTTACTTTAACAAGAGATTATTAAAATACTCCGTTGTCTGTTTTATTATTTATTTAATTATGTATTGATTTGTCACCGGGCCGGACAGGGGGATGGGGGGGCTCAAACAGACAGCACAGAGAAAGGTACACCTGTAAGAGAAGGGGGAAAGGGGGATGGAAGGTGGGGACAACAGGGAAAAGCTGTGGGAAACACCAATTGCAGAAAGCAATGAAACCTGCAATAGAACAGAGAGGGGGGCTTGGGGAGGAGAAAAACAACAACAAACAAACACAAACAAAAACAAACAATAAATATAATAATAATAGTAAAAGATAACCAGCCGAACAGCAGCAATGAACAGCTGACATAGTAAGACAACTAAGAGAAAAATTAAAACAAGAAACAGTCACACACACTAAATAAGCAACACAGCACAGCCACGAGAGCTGGAATAATAACAATTAATTTAAAGAAGTAACTGAAAGAAAAGCATCAGGAATAATTCTACCAGGGACAACCTAAATTTGTTTGTGTCTGTGTGCGTGTGGGTGAATGTGTCTGTATGTATGTGTGTACATGTATGTGCGCATAAGCCTGTTAAAGAATGTAGTTGTTAGTGAGAGTGGGATGCCACGACTGTGCCACACCTACCCCATTTAATGCTGTTTCAAATGTTCATGTTTCCCAGATGCTATCTTAATGACTTTGGCGATCCCCTGACTTTTCAGGATGTGCCCCTGAAGTTCACATGTGTATGTTCTTTAATTTGTCAAATACCTTGCTTTATGACCAAATACCTACAAAATGAAACACATCCCCATCAGCCTCAGCTGTGCTAAAATGGCATTGCCAATGTCAGCAGCAGATAATGCTCTCTTTTCTTATGCAGCATGAATTGCTTTTTTTTGTGAATAAAATGGATCAGAAGGATTTTGATTACCTTGCACTGCTGACATTGCTGGATTATCTGTTATGTTTGCCACTCATGTTGATACAAATTCATAAGTCATGATCGCAAATTGGAAATACTGGACCATTCAAACATAATCTACTCATAATTACCACTACCGAGATATTGATGTGAAGAGGTTTTGTTACTGTGCAGTTTAAGTCTGGCACAATATAAACACAGAATAGACTAATCCACCAAGGCGGGCCCCTTGTGCCCATAAGCCTCTTTTATAATTTGTAATTGGACTCTCTCCAATGCTCCTTTATGTATTAACGATCACGTCTGCATCCTGCAGTAATGACAGCAGACATTCTAAATAACCAGACTGATTGCGCTCTGTCTTTACGTCACTATTCAAAGAATCTTGCATGCAACAAAATATTTTGGTTTAGCAGATGTTCCCCATTCAAATAGATACAATCTCAATTTACACTGTACACTCTGAATTTGCATAAATTAACTATGATGTAGACAACACAGGGACATTTGCATATTATCTTCTTATGATCTTGACAGTGGTTGATAGTTCAGTTCTATTCAGTAGCTTTCCACTGATTGCACCAGTGAATAAAATGGCTTTGTGGTGGTTTTCTGCTCTTCCTGTTCCACACCTTTAGTCAGTTTGTTTTCTTTTTGAGTAGACCCGTCATCTGATTTTTTGTCTTTGCGTGAGGAAAACCCCAGCCACATACAGAATACAGTGTATTTTTCAGATGTCTGTCTTCTCCCTTTGATTCAAGCTTCTCGTCTTTCCCTCCACACTCAGGTCAGCGTGCCGTTTGAACATCTGGCAAAGTGAGTTCCTCCTGGCCGGCCTGCAGGTCAGTAGCAGTGGTATGGACATGTCACACACACACACAAACTCCCACCCTCCATATCCAGGTAAAGAAATTGTTGATATTCAGCAGTAATTCAAAGCAGTAATGATGAACAAAAAATTGTACACATTATGAAGCAACTCAAAGAAGTGAAGTTGTGCTCAAATAGCCAGAGCAAAATGAGGAAAATGTAACATTTGCTTTAATCTCTCTTCAATTCTAAAAATACATTTTTGAAAAAGTGAAAAGTAAATTAAGAAGTTGGCATTTTTCCTGTAGAGTGAATGTTGCTCTTCAGTGCAGTTTTATTCATACACAAACCACAAAAGTGACATTTCTTTTCCTTCTTTTGTGTGTTGTGGGTTCAGCAGCTGCAGGGTACCAAGTAGCCCGAACTTTTCAAATGGATGAATGAATACATGAATGAGTGGAGGAGGGCAGGAGGAGGCATTGCAGGCCCTTAACGGGGGGGATCGAGGCCATCCGTGTGTCTGTCGGTATGCTGTGTGACCAGGAAGAGCACCAAGATGATAGAAAGCCATGGGACAAATACACTCTTGGCTGGAACTGGTTGGTACTGCTTTTCGGGTGTTGCCGGAGGGGGGGAGGTGGGTGAAACAACACACAGGTGCCGCCCCTTCTTCACTCATATTCACCTGCCCATTGACTCAGAGGCTCAACTTGCAAAAAACAAGGTGCACAATGGACTAAATTTCAGTTATTATGCGGTTCACACCTGAGATTAAATTTTAAATAAAATCCACTATAAACCTGCTAACGTTTGAGAGCTAAATCCGCTGCTTATGGTGTTCTTGATTATTAATAAATATGTAAACAACCATAGAGACGAACACAAAACTAAAGTGTATCCAGGCCTGTAATAATTGAGCCAGGGGAATGCTTGAAAATGGGCCATTCACTGCAGTCGATTTGTGGACGGGAGCAAGGCTGCTTTTTGTCAATACATGTCGGTGTCTGTCTGTGTGTTACTGTCTTAAGTGTTTGTTTTGCCTTTAGCTTTGCTATAGGGTGTGTGAGGAAAGGAGGGATGCAGATGTAACTGTTGATGAATTGAATTACCCATGAGGTATAACAGAGGATTAGTCCCAAATTAAAACATCCTCTTCTTCAGCACACTTGTTCCTGTCTTACCTTTGATAGGAAAAACATGCTCATTGAATGTGAAAAGAGACGGAGGAGGTTGAAGACTGCTTCAAGTTGAGTGCAGAACAGAGGGGAGAGTCATGAGGATTGTATGATATGATAAAGCCTTAGTCCAGCTTGTAACTCCAGGTATGAAAAGACTTGAGAAAGTTATAAGATCTTGGTGGTGAACAAGGCTGGTGTTACATTTGCTTTCCCCCCCGTTTTATAATACATGTAAAATGTGTTGTGGTATCTTTTTTTTCCAGAATGTCACAGATTGTTTAAAGATGGGGCTGGAGAGAAGAAAAGTACTGTTTGCTCCCTGACAGCCCTTAGGGAGGCAAAACAGACCCGTTTACCTGTAACCTTTAGAGTCTGCCAGAACCGTGTGTTTTGGTTTCCACAGTGGCAGGCAATGACAGAAAGGTTCTTGTTAATATTTCAAGGAGTGTTTTGACCCGGGCCTGTCAGGACAGACGCACATCACTGATGAGAGGGAATGAGCTGTCTGATGTCCTGTACATTTCTTTACCTTGCTTCAACTTTATTACTATGATATTTGTGTATATTTTCTGAATCAATAAAGATATACACAGCTTATACAGACTTCTGATGTTCTTTTTTGGGTATTTTGTCTTTATTTGACTGTGGAGATCATGAACTGTATATGGTGGAGATAAAGAGAGAATAATGTGGTGGGGAGTGACGTGCATTATCTTATTACATTATATGACGTAATCTAAACATCACAGTTTTTTAATACTTTGTTGTACACATATTCAAATACAAAGAAGCAATTACACAGACAACAGAAAATAGAAACAAAAAAAGACAAAACGAACAAGTAGTATAATAACATAACATAAACAAATATTTTAACATTAACAACAACTATATACAGCAACTAGGCACATGGATGCCTCTCAACCTGTTTATTTAGTTTTTAATTATGTGTTTATCTGCTGTGTCACCACAATTAACCTCATGTGACCTTATGCTGTTGTGTTCCAAAAATTCTTCCAGGGTTATTTTATGGTGTTTTGCACTGTATGTGTTGGGTTTCTTTTCTTAAGAGTGGAGTCATATCTGCTTGTCTTGGCAGGGCAAGTTTATTTGTATAGTATAGCACCTTTCAAAAGGCAATTCAAAGTGCTTTAAATAAGACATAAAATGCATTTAGAAAAGATATAAAATAAACACAAGGTAATACAAGACGATGATATGAAGAGACACATATATAGGATATAAAAAAGAGTAAAACAAAATTAAACAAGCAAAAGTGGAATAAGACAAATTAAACTACAGTGCAGAGCAAGATATGAAAAAAGAGCTCCAAGTTTAACTTAATAAAATGCAGTGTCACAAAATTTTAAAGCCTGATTAAAAAGAACTGAGAGCTGGAGCAAATCTCAGGTTTCGTGGTTGATGGGTATTTGAATGGTTTTTTAGAAGCACAGAAACTGGAGACCCCACCTACCTTAATAGTTTCTGACTAATGTGTTCCAACAAAACCCTGTGGAAGTTTCTCACTATTTAAAGAAATCACTTATTCATTCATATAATTGTAATTATGTGCAATTTTATCTCCCTACATTATGGCCTAAACATTCTCACTGGTTAGTACAGTGTGTAACTCAACATTTAACATATTTAGTGTTAAAAGCATCAATGTCAGACTTGTAAAATATGTGTGTAACTGTAGAATGTAAACTTCTCTTAAAGAAACTCTCCACTGATTTTACACATAAATGTCAGTTTACTTGTAATGAGCAATACTGCTTTATTTACTTTTTATTTACTTTATTTATTATGATTTATTTTTATATTCCCAGATTTTTACAAAGAATTCCCCCTCTGGGATCAACAAAGTATACATATTCTGATTCTGCTTAGCCTGTGAAAATAATAATAATGTCTTCTGTGGCCCCGGAGTCATAAATATATATAAACATAACCTTAATGATGTCATCAGGGGATGCATAGAGTTTGACATTCACATTTACAAGGTGCTAATGGTTACATTATGGGAAATGCAGGATCAAGCATTTGTGGAGCTTTTTCTTTAAACCCCCAAATTTTCCTCTATATTAACTTTTGTCCTTGATATAAAAAAAAACGTCTGTGAAGAGGCCTTGAATGCTGAAACTAGTTTGTAAATTAAAGTTATTTTCAGCACAACACAACAAAAGTAGCAAATATTATTATGGTGAGTATTAGTTGCCCACACACTCTGACTAAACAGGACAGGAAGTTGTAAATAATTCATCACTGTGTGTTGGAGCAGTGTTCACCTTGTCCAACACCCACACTTCCACTGCTGCTGCTGGACCGAGAATAGACCCGCGCATGCTCAGTGTTCAGTGAACAAACCCTGCCCTTTTCCGGATTATTAATGAAGGTCTGTGTGTGATTGGCTGCAGCGGTTCCTCCTTGTGGAATGGGCGGAGCTCGTGTGATCAGCATTTAATCCGACAGGGATTGAAGTCAACGGAGTGGAGAAAGAAAAGCGTAGAGGAGTTTTACAGCTTCAACTCCGAAAAGACTGACTTTTAGACGATGCTATGGTCAGACAGGAGCACTAAAAGGAGAATAAAGCAGTTGTTTAACATTAGCGACAAAGTTTAGAGGCGAGGGTTTTTTTTTTTTGGAGGGGGGAGACGCAGCCCTTGACGGGGTAGTCCGCTGAGCAGCTCAACATGGATGTCCGGGGAGCAACGGAGCGGCTCTGAGGAGGAATTAAGGCCGTTTCTGGGTTATTTCTGCTCGGGCGTTTGTTTGAAGGAGCGGAGGAGGATTTCAAAGCAGCGGCCTCTCTAAGAACAGGTGAGCTTGGCCTCCAATAGAGAAATACTTTGCCTTTACACAACACTTATTTACCTTTCTCACTTAACAGTCAGGTTCATCTGTGAGTTGTTCGCTAAAGTAAATCTTTTCAAGCTTTGCTGCTTGCGGTTAATTTGTTTAAGTTTGAGCGTCATTTCCATATCATTCAAACATTAACTTAGATTTACCCGCAGGACAATAAAAAGCACTGTCATGGAAGTAATGTTAAAGCAAAGCAAAGTGTCTATATGTTTTAATGGATTTCTGAATATACATCCCAGTGTTGCTTTTGTTGTTGTTCAGCTAGTATGATAACCCAGTCTGGCTGTCACCCATACATTTACTTATTATAAATTATAAACACTTCCCCCATCGCCCTTTTCCATCTGTTGCTTTATTCCTGACCCCTCTGCCTCCCTGTTGTATTATTCCTCAGTGTCTGACCTTTTTATGCCTTTCAAATGCAACGCACAGATGTCCCTTTGCTTCAGCACAGCATCATTTCACTGTCACTGCTGGTAGTGTGTGTGTGTGTGTGGGTGTGTGTGTGTGTGTGTGTGTGTGGCTGCTGATGCCTTCACTTGTCCTTGTTGCCATGTGGATTTGCTGATCCCTGGCAAACTAATACAAATGACCACACACACACAGGTTACATACATAAATAAACAGCAAAACCATAACTTCTCTCAATTTCACATATAAATGTGTGAAAGCAACTTATTTCATACAACCACCTGAGTTTAACGTTATTAGTGTTAGAAACTAAATGGGTGTGTGTGTGTGTGTGTGTGTGTGTGTGTGTGTGTATAATAGCATTATGTCAGCCTATCACTGTCCATGCTGATTGTTTACTGTGTGACTTTTAGTTGCCATGCTGCTCTGGAAGACGAGACATGACAGGTCAGAGTGAAGGATACCCTCTGTCTCTTTCTCATTCAGTGATAGTTCCACTCTTTAGCTATTTATTATCTCTACTTGCGTCCAAAATAATGTGTAGGTGCATTTACGTCAGCCACCGCTCTACTTCCGTCACGTCAAGGTCTCTGTTTTCCCCCCAATTTTAGTCTTGTACACAACTGCACAAGAACAAACTGAGAGCACGACAAGCTGCTGCTTACGTAACGTGTCTTCTGGCCACACGTCTTCAGGAGCTGGAGGTGGATGTACATAGCATCTTTGTTCATCTCCATCTAAATTTGGTCAGACCGCAGGCTGTTGATTCTTGCCTCACTTGTCAGACATATTTATGAAACATTTTAGGTTTCTGTGTTTTTCTTATTTCAAAGGATAACTAGTGAAAATGTGACCATAACACATCACATCTAGGTATTTAGAGCACATTAAAATGGACATTAGCTTTAAATGCCAGGTTCTGTTGTCAGTCCTGGGAATCAAACAGCATTTTCTTAAGGATCTCATCGTTTTGCCACAGAAGAACGAATTTATGATGCCTCAAAATACCAGGATCGCCTGCAGCTAAATTACATGTTGCTTTGCACTTACTTACAGTATGCTCCACCAACAGTAAAACCACAGCTGAATAGTAGATGTTTGGGCATGTCATCTGGCAGTGGCATTTGGGGAGATGCAGGAACTCACAAAATTGAAAAGACTCCATTGTACAAATGATACACGTATCCGCACATCCTTGACTCATTGACCTGAAGTGTATCTGTGTTTGTCCTCTATCTGTCTTCCTGCCTCAGATTACACATTACATTGATAACACAGAGTGTGGGCTCTATATTCGAGGTTGATGATTATCAGTGGAAATGGATGTTCATAGTTATTGAATTGTGTCACAGCATAGTTTGGAGTTTCATTGGTTTCTATATGTACACACTAGAGGGTGACATGGGAGGAGAGTTTCACTCTTGTCCCGTCCCAATCCCATTCCTGATTTAGAAAATCTAAAAATAGTGTTTATCCATGTTAGAACTTGAATAAACACTGTTCATATGTGTGAAAGCATCTGTGTTCTGTGCCACTTCCAGGTGTTGAGGATGTGGAGGCGAGACGTGCCGCTCTCAGAGAGACTGGGAGAGGACTCTCCTTTGGCCGCAGCGCCCAGCCTGCCACCAACGGCAGCCCCTATGGGCCCCAATATCTCATGGCTTCCTGAAGCCCCTCTACTGACCCCAGACCAGCCCATCTTCCTCATGACTCCCGCGGCGCAGGCTGTTTCTGGATTCTTTGTCTGGACCGCACTCATCCTCACCTGTCACCAGGTAAACGCTTTTTAACAGCATAAGGAGGGAGAAGGGGTTAAATCATAAGGCCTTTAATTCTACTTAAACGGTGCAGTACTTTGTTATTTACTCAGCTGGAGATACAGATGTTGAGATTTGACCGAGTAAGCTTTTCTGGAGTCGGTGCTCACAAAGATGTAAACTTGATTTGGCAGGTGTGTGTGTGTGTGTGTGTGTGTGTGTGTGTGTGTGTGTGTGTGTGTGTGTGTGTGTGTGTGTGTGTGTGTGTGTGTGTGTGTGTGTGTGTGTGTGTGTGTGTGTGTGTGTGTGTGTGTGTGTGTGTGTGTGTGTGTGTGTGTGTGTGTGTGTGTGTGTGTGTGTGTGCGCACAGGTGACGTGATCCTGCAAACACACTGCTCAGGCGTAGAGACGAGCAGGGGTTGCTTGGTAACGTGACGTCCCTCGGCAGGTGTTTGTGATACAGAGCATGAAAACACACGCACATACAGAGGTGAAACTTTATTCGGGTGGATGAAAAGCCTGTATGAAATCTGGCTTTTAAAAAAAAAAGAGAATAGAGTTAGAGTT